GATTAATAAACAAAATGTTAGTTGGTTCTATATAGTTTGATTGGTTTATAATTCTTATAGCTCTTTTTTTGTAACTTGAAAATAGGAAGAGTGTTCGTTTTATATGCATTACCCCATATCTCCAGACAGTAAGTCATATATGGAAGCAACAGAGAACAATAAAGTCTGTATAATGATTTTTTGTTCAGTACATGCTTTGTTTTATAGAGAATAGCAATGGTTTTTGACATTTTTGTTTTCACATGGTTTATATGAGACTTCCAACTCAGCTTATCATCAATTATCACTCCAAGAAATTTATTTTCGTACACTCTTTCAATTTCAATTCCATTAACCCTGATTTTAGATACATTTTTCATTTGTCTAGTGCCAAAAATAATCAATTTTGTTTTCTTTATATTTAATGATAACTTATTTACATCAAACCAGTTTTTTAATATATTTAACTCTTTTTCCGCTGTAGTCAGAAGCTGTCACGGTTCTGGGTCCGTTGGACCCAGTATTTTGAGTTTATTATGTTTTGGTTTATTTCTGCTTCATGGATTGTTTTCTTCTCGTAGTGATGATGATGATTATTATTTCTTGTTTCTGTTTATCCGTGCTTAAGGATTTGTTCTCAGTTATATCTCACGTTTAGTTTAGTTCAGATTCCATGTGTCATTCTGTCTGTCTCTCAGTGTAAAGTCTGCATGCTTGTTTAGTAATTCATGTTTCCTGTTTTATTGTGAAAGTCTTTGTCTTATGTTAGTGTGTGCAGCTTAGCTCCCCCGTCTCGTTAGCCCTGATCTCTCCCAGCTGTGTCTCCCTCCTGTTGCCGATTCCCCCGTTACTACCCTGTGTATATAAGCCCTGTGTTTTCCCATGCTCAGTGTCGCGTCGTACCCTCAGAATTATGCCTGTGTGTCCTTGGTCTCAGTGTTCCATCCTCACTCCATGTTTGTTTTTCTGCCAGCAATAAAGCTGAGGTTTTTTGAGTTTCAATTCTGTGTTCGAGTCCTGCATTTGGATCCTCATCTCTGCCTGCCCGCACACAGAGCCCTGACAGAAGCTGTTCTAGGTTTTTACCTGAGCAGTACAGAGTGGTATCATCAGCAAACAATACACATTTTAACAGTTTGGAAACATTACATATGTCATTTATATATAATATAAATAATTTAGGGCCCAGCACAGAGCCCTGAGGAACACCACAAGTTACCTTCAACTGCTTAGATTTTACATTATTGAATTCGACATATTGATATCTTTCATCCAGGTAACTTTTCATCCACTTGTATGCTATCCCTCTTATGCCATATCTCTCGAGTTTATTCATTAATATAGAATGATCAATTGTATCAAACGCCTTTTTTAAGTCTATAAAAACACCAACAGTATATTTCTTATTATCTAATGTAGTAGATATCCCTTCGACAAGTTCCATCACTGCCATCAAAGTGGACCTTTTTGCTCTAAAGCCATATTGGTTATCACTTAGGAGATTATGCTTCTCAATATATTTATCAAGTCTATTAACAAATAACTTTTCTAAAATTTTTGAGAACTGTGGGAGTAGTGACATTGGCCTATAATTGGTAAACTGACATCTCTCTCCGTTTTTATGGATTGGAATAACTTTTGCTATTTTCATTTGTGAGGGAAACACACCAGTTTGAAAGGACAGATTACAAATGTATGCGAAAGGTTGCACTATATATTCTATAATACTTTTAACTAATATCATGTCAATACCAAAACAGTCAGTGGACTTTTTATTTTTAAATGTCTTCACAATGTTAATTATTTCTCTATGAGTTGCAGCACCAATAATCATGGAGAACACATTCTGAGTAATATGTTTATTTAGGTCGTTATTATTTCTTGACTCTGGAATTTCTTTTGCTAAATTAAAGCCAACATTTACAAAGAAATCATTAAATTCATTTGCAATGTCTTTAGTTTTATCAAGCACAATATCTTTATCTTTTTTAAAATAATCTGGATAATTCTTATTTTTTGAGCCCTTTTTGATTATACTATTTAATATCCTCCATGTTTCTTGTGTGTTACTTCTACTTTGCTCCAATAATTTGTGGTAATATTCTTTCTTACTTGTTCTTATAATATTTATTAATCTATTTTTATATAACTTGTACTTTATTTCAGCATCTTTTGTCCTCTGTTTTATGAATCTCTTATATAGATTATTTTTCTTTTTACATGCATCTTCTACAGTGGGGCAAAAAAGTATTTAGTCAGCCACCGATTATGGAAGTTCCCCCACTTAAAATGATGACAGAGGTCAGTAATTTGCACCAGAGGTACACTTCAACTGTGAGAGACAGAATGTGAAAAAAAAATCCATGAATTCACATGGTAGGATTTGTAAAGAATTTATTTGTAAATTAGGGTGGAAAATAAGTATTTGGTCACCTCAAACAAGGAAAATCTCTGGCTCTCACAGACTTGTAACGTCTTCTGTAAGAAGCTTTTCTGTCCCCCACTCGTTACCTGTATGAATGGCACCTGTTTGAACTCATCATCTGTATAAAAGACACCTGTCCACAGCCTCAAACAGTCAGACTCCAAACGCCGCCATGGCCAAGACCAAAGAGCTTTCGAAGGACACCAGGAAAAGTATTGTAGACCTGCACCAGACTGGGAAGAGTGAATCTACAATAGGCAAGCAGCTTGGTGTGAAAAAAATCAACTGTGGGAGCAATCATCAGAAAATGGAAGACATACAAGACCACTGATAATCTCCCTCGATCTGGGGCTCCACGCAAGATCTCATCCCGTGGGGTCAAAATGATCATGAGAACGGTGAGCAAAGATCCCAGAACCACACGGGGGGACCTGGTGAATGACCTGCAGAGAGCAGGGACCAAAGTAACAAAGGTCACCATCAGTAACACACTACAACGGCAGGGAATCAAATCCCGCACTGTCAGACGTGTTCCGCTGCTGAAGCCAGTGCATGTCCAGGCCCGTCTGAAGTTTGCCAGAGAGCACATGGATGATACAGCAGAGGATTGGGAGAATGTCATGTGGTCAGATGAAACCAAAGTAGAACTTTCTGGTATAAACTCAACTCGTCGTGTTTGGAGGAAGAAGAATACTGAGTTGCATCCCAAGAACACCATACCTACTGTGAAGCATGGGGGTGGAAACATCATGCTATGGGGCTGTTTTTCTGCCAAGGGGACAGGACGACTGATCCGTGTTAAGGACAGAATGAATGGGGCCATGTATCGTGAGATTTTGAGCCACAAAACCTCCTTCCATCAGTGAGAACTTTGAAGATGAAACGAGGCTGGGTCTTCCAACATGACAATGATCCAAAACACACCGCCCGGGCAACAAAGGAGTGACTCCGTAAGAAGCATTTGAAAGTCCTGGAGTGGCCTAGCCAGTCTCCAGACCTCAACCCCATAGAAAATCTGTGGTGGGAGTTGAAAGTCCGTGTTGCTCGGCGACAGCCCCAAAACATCACTGCTCTCGAGAAGATCTGCATGGAGGAATGGGCCAAAATACCAGCTACTGTGTGTGCAAACCTGGTAAAGACCTATAGTAAACGTTTGACCTCTGTTATTGCCAACAAAGGTTATGTTACAAAGTATTGAGTTGTATTTTTGCTATTGACCAAATACTTATTTTCCACCCTAATTTACAAATAAATTCTTTACAAATCCTACCATGTGGATTCATGGATTTTTTTTTCACATTCTGTCTCTCACAGTTGAAGTGTACCTCTGGTGCAAATTACTGACCTCTGTCATCATTTTAAGTGGGGGAACTTGCACAATCGGTGGCTGGCTAAATACTTTTTTGCCCCATGTATCCCCTTTGTGATCCATGGCTTATTTGATCTGTGATGCTTTCTAGTGATCTTCATTAAAGGACAATGTTTTTCATATAGTGAAATTACTGTTGATAAGAATGCATCATATGCACTATTTGAATCTTCATTTGCAAAAACCTCATTCCAATTGTGTTCCTTTCAGTCCACCTGGAGGGCAGCAATGGCTCTTGTTGTTCTATGTCGTATCATATCAAATATTTGATTCTTTTGTTTAGTTTTAATCCCTTAGGTCTTGCACCTTCGGGGTGTTCTTCGTCCATGTTTGTTGACATAGCTTGCTGTCATAGAGTTGTTTTGCCAACTGCTAACCGTCTTTTTACTGTCCTGCTCTCCTTGTGTGTGTACGCTACACAATTCAGCAGTAGCCTAACTCCACTTGAAATAACGCGCGAAGTCAGGATGTAGCGTCCAACTCCTTTTAATTAGTAAGTATTTCCTCATGGAGTGAAACTGAAATACAAATAACATAGCTAAAATTAACTTAGCATCATTAGCACGACAAAATTAGATTCCAATACACATCCATTAGCGTTAGCACACAACTACTAAAGTTTTCATCTACAGCAATTGTTTCCACAAAATATACATAAAATACAATCCTACAATTCAATACAAATTAAAACTTACAGACGGTGGTGTCGATGGCACAAACAAAAGGCAGATGTCGCTGGGTCAAATATCCCCACATGTGATCCGCTAGGAACTAAAAACATGGCTGACTTCCTGTCACTTCCCGAAACTGTTTTTCAAATTAAAACGAATTTCAAAATAAAATTAGCTCACTGCAAAGAGCGCCTATGTTGCAATAAAATTAAGAGCGAAACATCCACACCAACTTTGCAGGAATAAAATATAAATAGTAAGACTTCAGGAGCACATACAAAACAAGACAAAGGCACACACTGGAGAGCAAAGTGCTTGGAGGTAGTGCAAAGGACTTGGTGTGAGTGTGTCAGTGTCCTGAGTGATGAGGGTCACTCAGACCATGGCACAGATTGGTGAGGAGAGGTGAGTTTGTTAGCAGTCTGAATGGCCCAAAGGAAGAAGGGGCATCAGTGACCAACATATTTCCATCACTGTGACTGTGAAAACAATTTACCATTGATCAGTGTGCTTCCCGTTCCACTCTGTTATACTCTGCTAATCTGTCAGATGTGTCATTTTGTTAAACGTGAAGATAGCTGAGTGTCCTGCAGCAAACCAAATCTGCCTGTGGGTCCAATTAAAGGGACCTAAAGCTGTGTTAGTTAAAATTAAAATTCTGGGACACCAGCAGCTTTTTGGTGTAGACAGAAGTTTATTGTGAGAAAGAACAGAATAAAATTGAACATGTAAATACAAATAATGTTGATGGCACCTCTCCACTGACCATCTCCACATAAGATATCCGCAGCGCTTTCACTTCCCTATTGTACAGTTATAGATCAAAGGTTTAATCAGCTTATAACCAATGTCAACCTTCATTTATCTTTTCATCCTTATTTTTTGTTTTCATTACGATAACACAAGTTGAATCACACCATCATCCTATTACATTACAGTTAAAAGTTGGATTTCATGGTAATTAGTGCAACAGATTATTTTTTTTAACATTTTACATGACCTTTCCATCTAATTCTTTGTGCTTGTTGAGGTCTTCTATCTTCAAAAATCTGTGATCTTTCCCATTCACAGGATCTGTACACACAAGCTACTGCTTCTTCAGCCTCTCCATATCATCAGGACACAGGTCACTCTCTGTCAGCATACACAAGTTTATCAGAGCTTCCACCTGCAAATATACATAGACATTTGTGAACATGGGAAACGACTTAATTTTTTTCAGTGGAGGGGGGATATTTAGACATCAGCAGACAAAGTCAAACTAGCCTTCGCTTGACTGAAGGTATGACAGCTCGACCTCCACTTTAGACTCTTTTATTCAGATTGATCATTCTGGCTTCAATAGTCACTTTCCCCAAACCATCATCGACGTAATGCTACAAGACTGCTCAAATAAGTTCTACAGTTAATTAATGTTTCAATCTTAAATATGATTAAGCTATCTGTATCAATAGGTTATGCGCTACAAGCCTTTAAGGTGGCAGGAATTAAACATTACTTACAAATATGTGACTTGATCCAGCTATCTACAAAGCTATACAAATATCTCACAATTACATGGGAAAAATCAGCCTCATAGGCTATAGGTTTACAGAAAATATTAAAAGAAAATACATACATTTAGTAATAAATGTAAAGCAACATGGGCACACTTAAACCATCCACTGACCTCAGAGTCTTCAGTCCACAATTTGGTTTCTCCACCAGATCACACAGCTGCCTCATGTCTGCATCTTTCAGTTTATTGTCAGTTAAGTCTAGCTCTTTTAGATGTGAGGGGTTGGATTTCAGAGCTGAGGCCAGAGCTGCACAACTGATTTCGGACAAACTGCAGCTATCCAGTCTGAAGAAAGAACATAAATTCATTAGACAAAGTTTCTAAATTAAATTACTCAGTGTTTCATATCTCTTCCGCACACAAGAAAGTTTAGAGACTATATATAAATTCAGAAAAAGAAAAATCCAAACAGCACATGCCAAAATTCTTTAAGAAATGCTTTGAAAAGTGTTGAAAGGTGTATCTCTATGTCTTTTGAGGCTATTGCTATTTTCCTATGAGATACATGTTTTTTACCTTAAATAACTTAAATGAATATCTTTTATTTTTTTTATTTTTTTTTAATTGGCCCAGCTTTGGCCCATGGGACCTCCCTGGGCTCAATCTGAAAGAGCAACATGGATCCACCCTCTTTTGGACCCACCAATCACAAGAGGAGCTATGGGGATCCTCTGCAGAATGAAGTAGGCAATGGTCAGGGGTGAAGTCCCTGGGGTTTTTAATCTAATCCAAAACTGGTTCTAGTGAAATCAATGTCACCTCTCTGCAATAGGTGTAGGCTGCTGGGGGATTCCCATGATTCACTGGGTGTCTCTTCTTCAATCACTATGTGTTAATAGACCTCTCTGCACTGAATCATATCTGTTATTAATCTCTGTCTCTCTTTCACAGCATGTCTTTAACCTGTCTTCCTTCTCTCTCCCCAACCGGTCACAGCAGATGGCCCCTCCCGTCCCTGAGCCTGATTCTGCCGGAGGTTTCTTCCTGTTAAAAGGGAGTTTTTCCTTCCGACTGTTGCCAAAGTGCTTGCTCACAGGACGTCATATGATTATTAGGTTTTTCTCTGTATCTATTATTGTAGGGTCTAGCTTACAATATAAAGCGCCTTGAGGTGACAGTAGTTGTGATTTGGCGCTGTCAAGAGGTGTTTCTCCATGCCACATTCCCTATCTATTTCATTTTGTTTATTCAGCCTTCTTTGTGTACATACAGTCTTTTGTTTGTTTGTTTTCTATTGTTTTTCATTTCTTTCCTTTTGTTGTTTTGTTATGGCCTCTGTATCTTCCATGCACTGTTTAGGTTTGACCTTTGCTGTTTTTCTGTGATTCCTCATATTTAGATTTTTTTTTTTATATACACTGATGTTTGGTTTTTGCACATCTTTCAAGCAGCCAGAAACCATTATTTCTTTAGCTATTTTTGCATTCTGTCATCCGACCTTGCACCTCTAATATATAATCTAAGAGAATTATTATAACATGAGCTTTGTGTCACCACAGTCTTTATATCATAAGTTTAAAAAATGACTTGTCTGACCTCAGAATCTCCAGTCTACAGTGCCGACTCTCCAGAAAACCACAGAGCTGCTTCACTCCTGAATCCTGCAGGTCGTTGTTGTGACTCAGGTCCAGTTCTCTCAGATAGGAGGGGTTGGACTTCAGAGCTGAGCCCAAAGGAGTACAGCTAATCTCTGACAAACAGCAGCCCATCAATCTGAATTAAGGAAATTATATTGCAGAATGACAAAGACATTTAATATAGGACTAATATAGGACATCCAAAAGCATTTCCATTCATTTCATTTTCATTCTTTGTAATCCCTCTGTGTATCCCCAGGTTAGTTTGTTATCTAGGTTTAGGTTTCTGTTATTATGCTTCCCCCATGTCCCTTCTTGTGTTGTCAGTTTTGTCTCTGTTTTTCACTTTCTTTTTGTGTGTCGAGGTTGTGTCTCTGCAATCTGTACTTTCAGCCTTATTTTGTCAGTGTCTTGTGTTAAGTTTCTGTTTTATTGTTTTGTAGTACTGAGTTTAATTATACTTTTTCTGGCCTTGTTGTCTCTCTCTGGTTCCATGTTTAGTCAAAATCAGTGTCTGTTTCCCCTTTCCTTGTGTATATCATCTGTTTTCTGTTTTATTCTGATAGCCACTTGTCCTGCATGCATCATGATCATTTTTGCTTCCCCTGTTTCCTCTCCTGTTTATATTGTCTGTATCTCTAGCTGTGCATTGTCGTGATCTCCCTTATTTCGCCAGCTGTGTGTCCTGTTAGTGTCCAGTGTAGTTTCATTGCTAATATTTCTCAGTGTATGTTTACTTCAGTTCTTTGTATTTTAGTTGCCTGTGACTGTAGTAATAAAGCTGTTTCAAGAACTCAGGCGGTCAGCACTCTGTACAGGCCAGTCAAATTGTTCCACACCAAACTCACTTATCCATATCTTTATGTGTCTTCGTTTCTGCACTGGTGAGCAGTCATGTTGGAGCAGAAAGGGCCATCACCAAACTTTTCCCAAAAATTTGGGAGCATAACATTGTCATTGCTTCTTAATTCAGATAAAACTGAGGTTATTGTACTCGGCCCTGAAAATCTTAGAAATATGGTATCTAACCAGATTCTTACTCTGGATGGCATTACCTTGGCCTCCAGTAACACTGTGAGGTACCTTGGAGTCATTTTTGACCAGGATATGTCCTTCAATGCACATATTAAACAAATATGTAAGACTGCTTTCTTCCATTTGTGCAACATCTCTAAAATTAGAAATATCCTGTCTCAGAGTGACGCTGAAAAACTAGTTCATGCATTTATTACTTCCAGGCTGGACGACTGTAATTCATTATTATCAGGATGTCCAAAAAACTCACTGAAAAGCCTTCAGCTAATCCAAAATGCTTCAACAAGAGTCCTGACAGGGACTAGAAAGAGAGAGCAGATTTCTCCTGTATTGGCTTCCCTTCATTGGCTTCCTGTTAAATCCAGAATTGAATTCAAATTCATGCTCCTCACATACAAGGCCTTAAATAATCAGGCCCCATCTTATCTTAATGACCTTGTAGTACCATATCACCCTATTAGAGCACTTCACTCTCGCTCTGCAGGCCTACTTGTTGTTCCTAGAGTATTTAAAAGTAGAATGGGAGGCAGAGCCTTCAGTTTTCAGGCCCCTCTTCTGTGGAACCAGCTTCCAGTTTGGATTCAGGAGACAGACACTATCTCTACTTTTAAGATTAGGCTTCAAACTTTCCTTTTTGCTAAAGCATATAGTTAGGGCTGGACCAGGTGACCCTGAATCCTCCCTTATTTATGCTGCAATACACGTAGGCTGCTGGGGGATTCCCATGATGCATTGAGTTTTTCCTTTCCAGTCACCTTTCTCACTCACTATATATTAATAGACCTCTCTGCATTGAATCATATCTGTTATTAACCTCTGTCTCTCTTCCACAGCATGTCTTTATCCTGTCTTCCTTCTCTCTCCCCAACTGGTCGCAGCAGATGGCCACCCCTCCCCGAGCTTGGTTCTGCCGGATGTTTCTTCCTGTTAAAAGGGAGTTTTTCCTTCGCACTGTCGCCAATGTGCTTGCTCATAGGGGGTCATATGATTGTTGGGTTTTTCTCTGTATTTATGAAGTGCCTTGAGGCGACTTTTGTTGTTATTTGGTGCTATATAAATAAAATTGAATTGAATTGAATTGAATTGAATTCAATGTCTTGTTATGCTGAAGCATTAAGAGTTCCTTTCACTGAAACAAGGGGAACAATCTCAACTCCTGAAAAACCACTAACCCCACTCTGACTTCATTTGCTGCCATGTTCAATCACTTCCACTTTGTCTTGATGCATGCTCAATCATCTACGTAAGGAAATCCCAAAGAATTGATTCTGTTCATCTGGGCATAGCCTTTTTAGTGACCATTTCACCATCTTACAATGCTGTAACTTCAGCAATTCTCAACTTTCCTGGAATGGTACTCATGGCTAGTGATCCATGGACATGACAATTTAAATGCTAATCATCATGAAACTGACCTCACAGCTCATTGTTCATTCAGTGGTTCTAGTTTGTCATTATGCAAATGTACTGTTTATACAGGGAGTGCAGAATTATTAAAAAAAAAAAAAAAAAAAAAAAAAAAAAAAAAAACAAATTTCCCACGTGTGGGACTAATAAAGGTTATCTTATCTTATCTTATCTTATTAGGCAAATGAGTATTTTTGTCATGGTCCTGGGCCATGTTGGCCCAGTATTCTTGGTTCCTTGTATTTTCACTCCTTATTTAGGCCATGTTTTCTGAGGTGTCCTGTTGTGGTGTTCCCTAAGTGTTTTCCCTTTGTGACTCTTACCCCCTTTGTGCCCCTCTGTGTATTTATGAGCTCTCGTCTCTCTTTGTGTTTAGTCCATGTTTCCCCCAGCCTGTTATGTCTGTGTTCTCCCCGTGCTCTCTCTCCTCCTGTCTGAACCTCTGTGTACTTCCTGTTTTACTTTGACAGTCTCTCGTCAGTATGCGTCATGTTGTGTTCACTCCTGCCCTGTCTCGTTATGTTTATCAGTGTCACCTGTGTTCCCCACCTGTGTGTAATCTCCCTGTGTTCTCTGAGTGTATTTAAGTTGTGTCTTCTGTCATGGTAGTTGCTGGTTCGTCTGTGTTGTTTCCCCTTGGTCTCCCTGCGTCTTCCCGTATGTATTTCCCCGGACCTCCCTGCATCCTCGTTTCTGGTTTGTGTTATTAGTTCTACCCAGTTTAGGTTTTCCTGTTTCATGGTACCCACACCGTTGCTGTTTGTATTTTCGGTTGTCAAATAAACACTCATCTGCACCAGAGCTGCCGCATTTTGGGTCCTATTTCAACTCCACACGGCTTGCCCCGCAAACCGTGACAATTTTGTCCACATCCTCTTCATGCATGTTGTCTTACTCCAAGCTGTATAGGCTCGAAAGCCTACTACCAATTAAGCATATTAGGTGATGTGCATCTCTGTAATGAGAAGGGGTGTGGTCTAATGACATCAACACCCTATATCAGGTGTGCATAATTATTAGGCAACGTCCTTTCCTTTGGCAAAATGAAGGACTTGAGAGGCTCAGAAAAGTCAAGAATAGTGAGTTATCTTGCAGAGGGATGCAGCAGTCTCAAAATTGCAAAGCTTCTGAAGCGTGATCATCGAACAATCAAGCGTTTCATTCAAAATAGTCAACAGGGTCGCAAGAAGTTTGTGGAAAAACCAAGGCACAAAATAACTGCCCATGAACTGAGAAAAGTCAAGCGTGCAGCTGCCAAGATGCCACTTGCCACCAGTTTGGCCATATTTCAGAGCTGCAACATCACTAGAGTGCCCAAAAGCACAAGGTGTGCAATACTCAGAGACATGGCCAAGGTAAGAAAGGCTGAAAGACGACCACCACTGAACAAGACACACAAGCTGAAACGTCAAGACTGGGCCAAGAAATATCTCAAGACTGGTTTTTCTAAGGTTTTATGGACTGATGAAATGAGAGTGAGTCTTGATGGGCCAGATGGATGGGCCCGTGGCTGGATTGGTAAAGGGCAGAGAGCTCCAGTCCGACTCAGACGCCAGCAAGGTGGAGGTGGAGTACTGGTTTGGGCTGGTATCATCAAAGATGAGCTTGTGGGGCCTTTTCGGGTTGAGGATGGAGTCAAGCTCAACTCCCAGTCCTACTGCCAGTTTCTGGAAGACACCTTCTTCAAGCAGTGGTACAGGAAGAAGTCTGCATCCTTCAAGAAAAACATTATTTTCATGCAGGACAATGCTCCATCACACGTGTCCAAGTACTCCACAGCGTGGCTGGCAAGAAAGGGTATAAAAGAAGAAAAACTAATGACATGGCCACCTTGTTCACCTGATCTGAACCCCATTGAGAACCTGTGGTCCATCATCAAATGTGAGATTTACAAGGAGGGAAAACAGTACACCTCTCTGAACAGTGTCTGGGAGGCTGTGGTTGCTGCTGCACGCAATGTTGATGGTGAACAGATCAAAACACTGACAGAATCCATGGATGGCAGGCTTTTGAGTGTCCTTGCAAAGAAAGGTGGCTATATTGGTCGCTGATTTGTTTTTGTTTTGTTTTTGAATGTCAGAAATGTATATTTGTGAATGTGGAGATGTTATATTGGTTACACTGGTAAAAATAAATAATTGAAATGGGTATATATTTGTTTTTTGTTAAGTTGCCTAATAATTATGCACAGTAATAGTCACCTGCACACACAGATATCCCCCTAAAATAGCTAAAACTAAAAACAAACTAAAAACTACTTCCAAAAACATTCAGCTTTGATATTAATGAGTTTTTTGGGTTCATTGAGAACATGGTTGTTGTTCAATAATAAAATTATTCCTCAAAAATACAACTTGCCTAATAATTCTGCACCCCCTGTAAGGTTGGAAACCTGCAGTCAGCTGAGACTGAAGAAGTCACTTGGATGAGTGACGAAATGCTTCTTCCACTGAAAATCCTATGTCCAGATAAACAGAATCAATTTTTAGCACTTTCACTTTGCTATAAGCAACCCATTCTGTAACAAATGTTTACAAAAGCAGTCTTCATGTCTAGGTGTTTGATTTTGTACACCTGGGGAACTGGAGGTGATTGGAACACCTGAATTCAATTATTTGGATGGGCTGAATATTGTTAGCAGTATATTGCACGTCATACCACCTTTCTGGTGGTATGACTCTGAAGCTGTTATCTCAACAGATAGCTGCAAAGGAAATTTCACTAGCAACAGATTGCACTACATTAAAAATTATTTGTAAATGTTTTTTATAATTTTTTTTTAAATTACGCTTCCTCCAGAAGTAGAGACTACAATAGTCTTTCCTCAATGAGTCAATGACACACTTCCAGTCCAGTCTATTAATAAGGTGAACACCCAGGTATATGAAGCCCTCCACCATATTTACCATTTCTCCAAGGTTAGAAATGGTGTTCAACTCAGGCTTGGGCCTCCAAAAATATCTCACCATGTCTTTTTCTTCTTGGCTTGGCGTCCACTTCTCTATTCAGTTTTCACAAATGATCTGCCGTATGTCTTGGATAAATCTCATCTTGTAATGTATGCTGATGATTCCACCATGTTTTATTTAGCCAGTGGCAACTCTGAATTGACCAACGTATTGCAACAAGATTTGCTGAACGTGTTTTACTGGCTAAGTAAAATTAACATGATTTTAAACATCTAAAATCTATGTTAATAGGAAGTAGAGTACGCTTAGTCACAACTAACCCACAACTAAATCTTTCCATAGCTGGAATGGTAAATGGCCTGTATTTATATAGCGCTTTACTAGTCCCTAAGGACCCCAAAGCGCTTTACATATCCAGTCATCCACCCATTCACACACACACATTCACACACTGGTGATGGCAAGCCACATTGTAGCCACAGCCACCCTGGGGCGCACTGACAGAGGCCAGGCTGCCGGACACTGGCGCCACCGGGCCCTCTGACCACCACCAGTAGGCAACAGGTGAAGTGTCTTGCCCAAGGACACAACGACTGAGACTGCCCAAGCCGGGGCTCGAACCGGCAACCTTCCGATTACAAGGCGAACCCCCAACTCTTGAGCCACAATCACCCCAATGGTACTAGAACAGGTGACCCAGATTAAATTACTTGGTGTTACTATAAACCACCACCTTTCATGGTCTCAGCACATTGACTGTGTTATTAAGAAAATGGGACAGTGCATAGCTATGGCTAGGAAATGCTCCTTTTATATTACTTTTTCAATTATGAAAGGTGTCATTAATGCACTAGTATTATCTCATCTAGAGTACTGTTCAATCATTTGGTCAGCAGCTAATAAGACAGATCTGATCAGACTTCAGTTAGTCAAGAACAAGGCAGCCAGATTAGTGTTAAGGTGTTCAAACTATAGAAATATCTATAACTTTCTTTGCTTTCAAATAAGCTAAATTATACTATGGCTTACTCGTATTTTTTAAGAAAGCAATACTTTTAAAGACACCATATTTTTTTTTCTGCTCAGTTGCAGTATCCAGATGAAATACATAATCATAGTACATGATTTTCAACAAAACACAATTTGGTAACTCCTCAACTTAAAAGTTGAGAAAGTAAACTGCCATCGGTCAAGAGAGGTAGCCCTCTGGAGCCTAAGACTGGCCAAGCCGAGTTTTAAAAAAAAAAAAAAAAGTAATGACGTAAGATGTTAAGGTAACAAGTGTGCAATAGAGGGCAGATGGGGCAGAGTTCATCAATATTGAGACAAAACAGGATGTTTTCCAGAGTAATGGTATCTTCTCCTGGCTCAAACTAAGATTGAAGATGTGCTGTAAAAATGGACCTTCCATGACCTTCCAAGCTATATAGTTTGTCTTCCATATTTCCAACTATATCCATCACATACTGTGTATGCTACCATTGTATATAGTGTATTATCTTACTTTTTTCATTGATTGTACTTAATTGTATTTTTGTATTTCCTTCATATATCTGTACCTGAGCTGAGGTGAGTTTGGATGGGTCCTAGACTTAAGGTGTTAAACACATTGGCTCTATTTAGGTTTCCCACGGTTTAATAGTTCTTGTTCTGTGATCTTTTTCATTCCTGACCACACATCTTTCGTTTTCCCTGATCTTGTTTTCTGCCTGTTTTTGTAAATAATGTACCACTTTATAATATCTCCTGTCCCTATAATGGTTTTCTCTTTTTCTTTTTATTGGCTTTACCTACAATGGCCATAATACTATCAGAAATACTTCAGAGATTAACCAATAAAAAAAATGCCCTGGTCTGAATTCTTCCTGACAAAAAAAGAAGGTAAGTCAGAGTAAATTATCACTTCGAAGACTTCTCTTATATTAGGGTTTTAAATGTTTAGCTTTTGGACTGAAACGGTCAAAATACTATGGTTTAGTATCATATCAGTCTTCTGTCAGTTTAGTGCCAGCACAACAAAAACACAGTTTCTGACCTCAGAGTCTCCAGTCTACATTGCCGACTCTCCAGAAAACCACACAACTGTTTCATTCCCGAATCCTGCAGCTTGTTCCCTCTCAGGTCCAGATGTTTAAGATGGGAAGGGTTAGACTTCAGAGCTGCAAACAGGCAGCTGATCTCTGACAAACTGCAGCTCCTCAATCTGAATAAAGCATAGGAAGTATTATCTGTTTAGAGATGAAAAAGATCCAGAATGTAGAAGTTGAACACAGAAGCTGAAAATTAAAATTCTAAATGAAGTATAACAAATACCAAAATATAAACAGAACAATGAGTGAAACAAATTAATGACTGTATACTTCTGTTTCACTAAATATGGAAATATTAAGATGATGTTCCTATGAGATATATATGTAAGTATGTGTATATAAAAATAAAGGCGTTGAAATTTCAACTATGCATGGATTTAAACATGCAAAAGTTTGGGCAACCTTGTAATGGTCATTATTTTCCTGTATAAATCACTGGTTGTTACAATAAAAAATGTCAGTTAAATATATCATATAGGAGACACACACAGTGATATTTGAGAAGTGAAATGAAGTTTATTGGATTTACAGAAAACGTGCAATAATTGTTTAAACAAAATCAGGCAGGTGCATAAATTTGGGCACCACAAAAAAAGAAATGAAATCAATATTTAGTAGATCCACCTTTACAGAAATTACAGCCTCTAAACGCTTCCTGTGGGTTCCAATGAGAGTCTGGATTGTGGTTGAAGGTATTTTGGACCATTCCTCTTTACAAAATATCTCTAGTTCATTCAGGTTTGATGGCTTCCGAGCATGGACAGCTCTCTTTAACTCACACCACAGATTTTCAATAATATTCAGGTCTGGGGACTGAGATGGCCATTCCAGAACGTTGTACCTGTTCCTCTGCATGAATGCCTTAGTGGATTTAGAGCAGTGTTTCGGGTCATTGTCTTGTTGAAAGATGCATTGGCCTCCAGAAACTGCTGATGCTGAGTGGAATCCATGTGTCCCTCAACTTTTACAAGATTCCCAGTCCCTGCACTGGCCACACAGCCCCACAGCATGATGGAACCACCACCATATTTTTCTGTAGGTAGCGGGTGTTTTTCTTGGAATGCTGTGTTCTTTTTCCTCCATGCATAACGCCCCTTGTTATGCCCAAATAACTCAATTTAGTTACATCAGTCCACAGCACCTTATTCCAGAATGAAGCTGGCTTGTCCAAATTTGCTTTAGCATACCTCAAGCGGCTCTGTTTGTGCTGTGGGTGGAGAAAAGGCTTCCTTTGCATCACTCTCACATACAGCATCTCCTTGTGTAAAGTGCGCCGAATGGTTGAACGATGCACAGTGACTCCATCTGCTGTAACATGATGTTGTAGGTCTTTGGTGCTGGTCTGTGGGTTGACTCTGACTGGTCTCACCATTCGTCGCTTCTGTCTATCCAAGATTTTTCTTGGTCTGCCACTTTGAGCCGTAACTTGAACTGAGTCTGTGGTCTTCCATTTTCTCAGTATGTTCCTAACTGTGGATACAGACAGTTTAAATCTCTGAGACAGCTTTCTGTATCCTTCCCCTAAACCATGATGGTGAACAATCTCTGTCTTCAGGTCATTTGACAGTTGTTTTGAGACCCTCATGTTGCTACTCTTCAGAGAATATTAAAAGAGGAGGGAAACTTACAATTGACCACCTTAAATACTTTTTCTCATTAATGGAGTCACCTGTGTATGTAGGTCAGGGGTCACTGAGCTTACCGAGCCAATTTGAGTTCCGATAATTAGTTCTAAAAGTTTTGAAATCAATAAAATGACAACAGTGCCCAAATTTATGCACCTGCCTGATTTTGTTTAAACAATTATTACACACTTTCTGTAAATCCAATAAACTTCATTTCACTTCTCAAATATCACTGTGTGTCTCCTATATGATATATTTAACTGACATTTTTTATTGTAACAACCAACAATTTATACACGGAAATAATGACTATTAACAAGGTTGTCCAAACTTTTGCATCCCACTGTATATATACACCCTTTTGTGAATCGCTACCTCATTGTGGTGCATGGATTTGTGTGTCCCAGGGATCCCAGTGGGTAAGTTGTCTGTGTTGTCAAGGGTTTTGCCCTCCTGATAGGGTCTCCCATTGGTCCTGGTGAGACTAGTGACTGAGACATGGAATGTCACTTCTCTGCTGGGGAGGGAGCCTGAGCTACTGCGTGAGGTTGAGAGGTACCAACTAGATATAGTTGTGCTCACCTCAATGCACAGCTTGGGCTCCAAAACCAGACACCTGGCTAGACTCAGTCTGGAGTAGATCTTGGTGAGAGGCATCGGGCTGGGGGTGGCTATTCTAGTTTCCCCTTTGGTTTTTTCCAGTGGATGAGAGTTTTTTTTTCCCTGCACCTTAGGGTCAGGGAATGGGTCCTGAATGCTGTCTGCGCTTATGTGTCAAACCACAGTTCAGAGTGCCCAACCTTCTTGGAGTCCCTGGGTGGGGTGCTTAAGGCTACTTAACCTTGGGACTCTGTTGCCTTTCTGGGACACTTCAATGCTCATGTAGGCAATGACAGTGAGACCTGGAGGGGTGTGACTGGGAGGAACGGCCTGACAGATCTGAACCCAAGCAGTGTTCTGTTACTGGACTTCTGCACAAACCACAGTTTGTCCATGACAAACACCATGTTTGAACATAATGGTGTCCATAAGAAAGTAAGTTAAGTTTATTTATTAAGCCCTTCTCACAGACAGGCAGTCACAAAGCGCTGTGCAGAAAGTTTAAAATAAACAGTACAATCAATCGATCTTATACACAATGTAAAAGGTTAAATGTAAGTTAAATAATGTGAAGAATATAAAATACGTAGATCAACAAAATGCTTGTTTGAACAGTAAAGTTTTTAACTGATTTTTAAAAGAATCCACAGTCAACCATATGTAATTGTGGTGGTAGACTGTTCCACAGCCTTGGTGCAACAGACTGAAAGGCTCTGCCCCCTTTCGTCTTCAGTCGTGTACGGGGAACAACCAACAGACTCTGAGTCTATGAGCGGAGACGATGAGCAGCAGTGTATTTTATATGAAGCTTGGATAAATAATCTGGGGCCTGGCCATGTAATGCTCTGTATGATAAAACAAGAATTTTAAAACAAATTCTAAACACTATTGGAAGCCAATGTAAAGAATATAAGATGGGAGTAATGTTAGCACGCTTCCTAGAACGAGTTGGTAGACTGGCTGCTGCATTTTGTATTGCCTGGAGGAGAGAGAAATGTGATTTATCCAAGCTGGTAAACAGGGAATTACAGTAAACGTGATGACACAAATGCATGGATGAGATTTTTCCAGTTCATCTAAAGAGACCATATGTCACAGTTTAGAGATGTTTCTTAAGTGAAAGAAACAGGAACAAGACAAAGATATTACATGAAAGTCAAGGCCCAGAGAAGAGTCAAATATTACTCCAAGATTCTGAATATTTGACTTGACAGAAGAACTGAAAGAGGCAAGAACCTGATTAATTTTAGAATGTAGCTCAGGAGGAGCTATGATCATGGTCTCAGTCTTGTTCGTGTTTAGAACGAGGTAGTTGCTTGAAAGCCAATCAGAAACCTGCGTTAACCTCTTAAGCCCCAACGCCCCCTGATACGTGGGCAAAAGGCAGGAGATCAGGTGGGCTTGGGGCTTAAGAGGTTAAGCACTGGACCAGGGTCCAGTGCACATGGATACCCTAGGCCACAGGTTAGTTATCAATTTTGTTATCATATCATCAGATCTGCTGCCATATGTTCTGGATACTTTGGTGAAGAGAGGCGCTGAGCTGTCAACTGATCAACAGCTTGTGATGAGTTGGATAAGGTAGCGGAGGAGGATGCTGGACAGCTTGGAGTAAATGTATAGTGAAGGTGCACTGGGAACACCTGGCAGAGGCCCCCATCCACGAGATCATTAACTCCCCCTCTGACAGAGATTCAACAGAATTCCAAGGGAAACTGGGTATATAGATCATCAATAAATCATGTTCAGCTCCATTGCTGAAACTGCTACAACCTCCACACGGAGGTTGGTGCCTGTCATAGTGGTAACCCCTAAATCAGATGGGGGGCACCAGAGGTGAAGGGAGCCATAAGGCTCAAGAAGCAGTCCTATTTGGATTGGTTAGCCTGTGGGACTTTGGAGGGAGCCAATAGGTACCAACAGGCCAAGCAGAACGCAGCTTGGGCAGTCACAGTAACAAAAACTTGGGTCAAGGAGGAGTTCGTGGAGGCCATGGAAAAAAACTTTCAGATTGCCTCAGATAGAATCTGGTGCTCCACCTGCACTGTGTATAGTGCAGGTGGAGCACTGATGACTTCAACTGAGGATATTGTCATACCATGGAAGGAATGCTCCAAATATAGGGGGATCACACATCTCAGCCTCCCTGGGAAAGTCTATGCTGGGGTAGAAAACCCTTTCTCTTACTCAAACTTATGTTATATACTTTCATTTCTGCACAACATAAACAGGGCATCTTACCCCAGTGTTTCCAGTCTACAGTTTCGACCCTCCAGAAAGCCACACAGCTGTTTCACTCCTGAATACTGCAGGTTGTTCTGACTCAGGTACAGCTCTCTCATGTTGGAGGGATTGGACTTCAGTGCTAAGCCCAGACAGCTGATCTCCGATAACCTGCAATTCTCCAGTCTGAATAATAAATGAAAGATTTAAGTTAATTAGTTATGTGCTTGAAATTCTTCAGTGTTTTATAGTTTTCTTGGAGCTGAAAATTCAGATTCAGTTTACAGAAGTCCAGTAAAGTGAAACTTCAAATGGCTGAAGCTTGCAGAATGCCCGCCTTTTTTATCCCATGGCTAACAAGCCGTAAGGACTCTCAGCCATGGGACCTAGAACCTGAAAAACAGGGCAGGAAGAGAGAGAGAGAGAGAGAGAGAGAGAGAGAGAGAGAGAGAGAGAGAGAGCGAGAGAGGAGGAAAAAACAGCATTCTCCAACAGGGAGAATCTCCGACCGTAACGCCCTAAAAATCCACCTCTAGTAAAACCAGTGCTCTGTGTGGTTAACTGATGTGCACTGGACAGTGCATCCGCTAATATATTGTCTACCCCTTTTTTATGTCTGATGTCCAAGTTGTATTCCTGAACTAGTAGAGCCCATCTCTAGAAGTAGGAGATTGGATTATTGATGTCATCAGTTCCCTTCTGGAGCCCCCATGGCACTGGCGTCCACCTCCAGGCTGAATGCTCTAATGAAATCTGGGGCGGCCAGCACTGCACAGGAGGGACTTAGCACCATCAAAGATGTGTTGGCACTCAGTGGTCCACTAAAAAGGTTCCTTTGGGCTACAGAGGCGGGTTAGAGGGGCCACCACGGTTGAGAAGTTCCAGCAGAAACACCGATAGTAGCCCACGAGGCCCAGGAACCGCCTAAGTTCCCGCCAGGTGGTAGGAACAGGGTAGTTTACTACCGCCGCCACTTTGGCATTCACAGGGCACACTTAGGGACCGACCCACCAGCAGTCACCCTCCTGTTCTCGGCCAGGATTGGTCCCAAAACTGACTCCCCAAGGATCATTTCCCCCCCCTGCCGGGTGCGGGTGGACATGAAACTGGAAAACCTAAACTGGGCAAAACTAACAAAACAAACCAGAAACGAAGATGCAGGGAGGTCCGGGGAAATACACAGAGAGACACAGGGAGACCGAGGGAAACAACACAGACCAATTAGTTTAGGACGGGTGAACACACACTATAAGTACACATACCAGTAATCAGGGATGGGAAACAGGAGGGAAACACGCCTGGGGGACATAACAGCTGACGAGGTAGGGGAAACGTAAACAGAACACACTGACATAACACAGAGACTTTCAAAGTAAAACAGGAAACACATACACGTAATGACACAAACTCAGAAATGCAGACCAGACACAGATATACACGGGCAGAAAGAAAAGAACACTAACCGAGGAAGAACAGAACCAAAATTACAATAATAGAAAACACAAAACGCTGGGTCAAAAGGACCCAGGATCATGCCGTAAAATCTACAACACCACTCTCCTGACTCCACCTATCAAACAATATTCCTTTTTCCTTGCAAACTCAAGAAAGGTTTGCGTGGGGGGCCTACGGAGGGACCGGAAATGCTTTCTGTAAGCTTCAGGCACTAATTCATATGCTTTGAGAATGGCACTCAGTACCCTATCATACACTAAACTGTCCTTAACGGTGAGAGCCGCACACACCCCCTGCGCCTTACCCACCAGTTTACACTGCCTCAGCAGAGGCCAAACCTCTTTAGGCCAGTGCAAGGCTATGGCAATATGTTCAAATGCATTAAAATATGCCTCTAATTCTGTTTCATTCTTACCCACATCAAATCAAATCAAAATCAAATCAAATCAAATCACTTTTATTGTCACATCACATGTGCAGGCACACTGGCACAGCACATGCGAGTGAAATTCTTGTGTGCGAGCCCCACAAGCAACAGAGATGTGCAAACACAACAACACAAACGAGCAAAATACAAGAATGGCCAACCTGAAACTAATAAATATATGTACAATATATAATAGTGTATGCATTTGTATGCACAAATCCTGGAGGGGCAAGCAAAAAATGAATAAACTTGAAACAGCTGAGCTGAAAAACTAAAAGCATCAGGCTCTCTGAGGCCAAAATAACAAACAAAAACACTCCCCCTTCCTATAAACAAAACACGTGGTATAACTTCCCTCAAGAAAAAAAAATACAATACCTGACGTCTCTGGCTGTCCACAAAACAGGAGAAAACTTTGGTCAAACAAAAATGGCGGAGAACCCCTACCAGCCTACACTGCTCTCTCTCACTATCACAGTATTCCAAACGTAGAAAGAAAACAGAAGCGCTATACACACACGGCGCTCAGAGCCTCCTATGGCTAACAAGCCATAACGCTACTCAGCCGCGGCACCTGGAACTTCAAAGACAGGAAAAGGGAGAGGGGGGAGAGAGGGAGAGAAAGAAGAAAAGAAAAACACAGCATTCTCAAACAGGGAGAACCTTCTAGCAACCCATGACCGTAACAATTGGCATCCAGTAAAAAGTGACCATTATCCTTTTGGTGTTGACTCTTAACAACTGACCCTTGTCCTGGTCAGACACCAACTAAAGAGAAACACTAACAAATGGAACAGCACTGTCACCTCTTATGTAGCAGGTTTATCAGACAAATTTTCTCCAATAACTATATCCCAGTGGACCTCAGACCCAGCCACACACTCAGACAAAAACTGGTTTATCAAAAGGACAAAACTCCCAAACACAAACTAAACAACGTAGTGTATGCTGTGCAGTGAGGAGTGCTCAGACCTCTTCACTGGAGAAACCAAACAGCCCCTCCATAAACACATAGCACAACAGAAGGGCAACATCGACAGGAAAAGACTAAGCTTAACATTTGAACCTAAAGGATAAAGGTCACTCTTTTGAGGATGCTAATGTTCACATTTTGGACAGAGAAGACAAAGAGTTTGTAAGAGCAGTGAAACAGGATTTATGTGCACTGTGTCTAAAACTCATTGAACAGAGGGAGTGGCTTAAAACTGTCTGCCACATACAATGCAGTTTTGAGATCAAGGTTCAAGGTTCAAGGTTCTTTATTTGTCACATGCATAGTTATACAAGTATAACACACAGTGAAATGTAGCCTGACACGCTCCTCGACAGATCCCTTCCCAGGTGCCTCAATTCCCACTCACATCTTGTGTCACGTGACCTCAATAGGTAATATGATAGGGAGACAACCTCTCACAGTGGTTTCACCCAAAACCTTTAGTGCTAATAACCCATGCTGTTTTTTATACCTTGACTTATGTGATGAGGGGCATGAGAGGGTCTATGAACCACTTAAGGGACAGCTCCCACTGAGGTTTAAATAGATACATGGGACTCCACCATTTTGTTTTACAAGAGAAGCATATGGGACGTGAGGTGAAACGTCTTTGCGAAACTTAAAGGAGCCTAGTCACTCCCTTTCAAGCTCCTTAGGTCTCGATGCATGGTAAGGCGCTTGTCTTGATGCCAGTAGCTTCTATCTTCTCCTTTGGCCAGCTTATTATCCTCTCTGATGACTAGCAGGATGTAGGTGTTGAATGTTAATCTTCCTGACCCCTCAGCATTTGCTTTACTCTCTGCAGGTATTTGGTGGTCGTGGTTTTCCTTGCAACCCCTTCATGGATCCTATTTGCCTTTGGGATTCCAAGGTACAAGTAGATGTCCTCAGTGTCTGCTATGTTGCCTTCTAGTAGTGCAGTCCCTTCCATTTTGACTACCTTTCTTCTCTTGGTTACCATCCGACTAAACTTCTCCAGTCCAAATGACATTCCAATATCATTGCTACAGATCCATCCATGTAGAGGAGGTGGCAAATTTTTGATCCATTCTGACGTTAGTATCCACTATTGTTAATGATCTGACTAATGATCTGGGGTTCACATCTACAGGGAGTGCAGAATTATTAGGCAAGTTGTATTTTTGAGGAATAGTTTTATTATTAAACAACAACCATGTTCTCAATGAACCCAAAAAACTCATTAATATCAAAGCTGAATGTTTTTGGAAGTAGTTTTTAGTTTGTTTTTAGTTTTAGCTATTTTAGGGGGATATCTGTGTGTGCAGGTGACTATTACTGTGCATAATTATTAGGCAACTTAACAAAAAACAAATATATACCCATTTCAATTACCGTATTTTCACGACCATAAGACGCACTGTACTAAAAGGCGCAGTCTCAGTTATGTGTGCCATTACTGTATTTAACACACACATAAGGCGCACTGGATTATAGGGCGCATACAAGTACCGTATGCGTATTTAAAAATAAAGCGGGAGCAAACCTGAGTTTGGTACCTTACTCACATTTCTATTACCGGTAATCGTCATCATCAACAACACACAAGCATACAAGTGTGCATATTTAAAAATAAAGCAGGAGCAAAACTGAGTTTGGTACTCACATTTTTATTACCAGTAATCGTCATCATCAACAACACACAAGCATACAAGTGTGCGTATTTAAAAATAAAGCAGGAGCAAAACAAAGTTTGGTACTCACATTTTTATCATCAATCAAACCCATCGAAGTCCTCATCCTCTGTGTCTGAATTGAACAGCTGCGCTAAATCTCCATCAAACATGCCAGGTTCACTTTCTTCACTGTCAGAGTCACTTTCCGTGCCGTGCGGCTCCTCGGAAATGATGCCAGCTTTTGCGAAAGCTCGAACAACAGTGCCAGCAGACATGTTAGCCCAAGCATCTACAATCCATTGGCAAATTGTGGCGTAACTCGCCCGGCGCTGCCTTCCACTCTTGGTGAAACTGTGGTCTCCATCGGTCATCCATCGCTCCCACGCCGCTCGCAGCCTTACTTTGAACGGGCGGTTCACACCGATGCCCAGCGGTTGGAGTTCCTTTGTCAGGCCTCCCGGAATGACAGCAAGCTCACAGTTCATTTGTTTCACTAGTTTTTTCACATCGGCTGTGAGATGGGCACGCATAGAGTCACAGATTAAGAGCGATGGTGATGCGTGGAAAAAACCACCTGGTCTCCTTACATACACCTCCCTCAGCCACTCTTTCATCATTTCCTCATCCATCCAGCCCTTTTCATTTGCCTTAATGATGATTCCTGCTGGAAACTTCTCTTTAGGCAAAGTCTTTCGCTTAAAAATCACCATAGGCGGCAGTTTCTGTCCATTAGCATGGCAGCCAAGCACAACAGTGAAAGAAGACTTTTCATACCCCGTTGTGCGTATCGCTACCGTGCTGGTCCCCTTCTCCACAGTGTGACTCACCGGGATGTCAAAAGTGAGCGGGACCTCGTCCATGTTTGTGATGTGGCTGGGCTGGATGTTTTTGTCGCCGATGTGTTTGCTGCAGTAGGAGCGGAAGATGGCCAGCTTTTCCTTATAATCCGCTGGAAGTTGCTGCGCTACCGTAGTCCTGGTCCGGATGGAAAAATGGCACCGTTTCATAAAACGAAAGCACCAAGACGGACCTCCTTGGAAATGTTCAATGTTCATCTCTTCAGCTAGTGAAACTGTCAGGGTCCTGGGTCTCCTGACCCAGCGTTTTAGTTCTTTGTGATTTTTGTATTATTGTACTTGGTGTGAGTTATTCTATGGGTTCTAGTTTTGTCAGGGTCCTGGGTCTCCTGACCCAGCGTTTTAGTTCTTTGTGATTTTTGTATTATTCTACTTGGTGTGAGTTATTCTATGGTTTCTAGTTTCGATCCCTTGCCCTTCTTGTTTCTCTGTGTCCCCTCTGTTCTGTAAGTCTGTGTCTGCATGTTTGAGTTCCCCTCCATGTCTATCGGTTCTTAGAGTCTTCTGCCTTATGGTTTATGTCTCTGTGTTTCTTAGTTGCTGTCTCCACGGTGTCAAGTTTGCGTCTCTGTGTGATCCTTCCTGTTTTACTTTGAAGGTCCGTGACTTATGTGAATGTGTCCTGCTTTGCTTGTCTCGTCAGTTCTAATTTCCCCCAGCTGTGCTCTCCTTCTGTGTCTCATTCTCCTCGTTACTTCCCAGTGTATTTAGACCCTGTGTTTCTCTGAGTCAGTGTTGCGTCGTACCCTCATCAAGCTGTGTGTTTTGCCTCCGTGTTGCCAGTGTTTTGTCTCCAGCTCCAGTTCCAGTTCAGTGTTTCTGCTACAGTGCTTTAGTCCACCAGTGTTTTTGTTTGTCTTTTGGTGAGTTTAGTTTAGTAAGAGGTTTTCCCAGCAATAAAGCTGCGCTTTAAGTTGTACTTCTGTGTCTGAGTCCTGCATTTTGGATCCACCACTCCTGCTTGCCTGCCTGCCACACAGCCAACCATGACAGAAACTGCTTTTAGCCGAATGGTGACCGTCGAAACGCTTCTCCCACTCGTTCTTTGCTCGATGATCCACCGCTCGAGTCTTTCCTCCAACTCGGGCCACCTCGCCTTATGTCCGCGGAAACTCAGCTGCGTTTTCTTGACCTGCCGGAGCTTGTTTTCTGGCTTCCTCCATTTGCGAACCATCGATTCGTTAATCTTAAATTCTCTCGCGGCTGCTCGATTTCCATGTTCCTCCGCATAGCTGATGGCCTTCAGTTTAAACTGTGCTTCATAAGCGTGTGTCTTTGCCATTTTCAGGGTTGTTAAAACAACGATGTTCCACATAATGCACATACCTGTCCTTTTATACAGGTATGTGCGATTGTCCGGTATATACGATCAATGCCCACACTTCACCCTTTAGCGTTCTCATGGTGTTCTCTACTACGTCCTCCTTACAACACACAGGGCGCACTGCGCTATAGGGCGCGCCGTACTTTTTGAAGAAAATCTAAGACTTTTAAGTGTGCCTTATGGTCGTGAAAATACGGTATTTATTTTTATCAGTGAAACCAATATAACATCTCCACATTCACAAATATACATTTCTGACATTCAAAAACAAAACAAAAACAAATCAGCGACCAATATAGCCACCTTTCTTTGCAAGGACACTCAAAAGCCTGCCATCCATGGATTCTGTCAGTGTTTTGATCTGTTCACCATCAACATTGCGTGCAGCAGCAACCACAGCCTCCCAGACACTGTTCAGAGAGGTGTACTGTTTTCCCTCCTTGTAAATCTCACATTTGATGATGGACCACAGGTTCTCAATGGGGTTCAGATCAGGTGAACAAGGTGGCCATGTCATTAGTTTTTCTTCTTTTATACCCTTTCTTGCCAGCCACGCTGTGGAGTACTTGGACACGTGTGATGGAGCATTGTCCTGCATGAAAATAATGTTTTTCTTGAAGGATGCAGACTTCTTCCTGTACCACTGCTTGAAGAAGGTGTCTTCCAGAAACTGGCAGTAGGACTGGGAGTTGAGCTTGACTCCATCCTCAACCCGAAAAGGCCCCACAAGCTCATCTTTGATGATACCAGCCCAAACCAGTACTCCACCTCCACCTTGCTGGCGTCTGAGTCGGACTGGAGCTCTCTGCCCTTTACCAATCCAGCCACGGGCCCATCCATCTGGCCCATCAAGACTCACTCTCATTTCATCAGTCCATAAAACCTTAGAAAAACCAGTCTTGAGATATTTCTTGGCCCAGTCTTGACGTTTCAGCTTGTGTGTCTTGTTCAGTGGTGGTCATCTTTCAGCCTTTCTTACCTTGGCCATGTCTCTGAGTATTGCACACCTTGTGCTTTTGGGCACTCCAGTGATGTTGCAGCTCTGAAATATGGCCAAACTGGTGGCAAGTGGCATCTTGGCAGCTGCACGCTTGACTTTTCTCAGTTCATGGGCAGTTATTTTGTGCCTTGGTTTTTCCACAAACTTCTTGCGACCCTGTTGACTATTTTGAATGAAACGCTTGCTTGTTTGATGATCACGCTTCAGAAGCTTTGCAATTTTGAGACTGCTGCATCCCTCTGCAAGATATCTCACTATTTTTGACTTTTCTGAGCCTGTCAAGTCCTTCTTTTGACCCATTTTGCCAAAGGAAAGGACGTTGCCTAATAATTATGCACACCTGATATAGGGTGTTGATGTCATTAGACCACACCCCTTCTCATTAAAGAGATGCACATCACCTAATATGCTTAATTGGTAGTAGGCGTTCGAGCCTATACAGCTTGGAGTAAGACAACATGCATGAAGAGGATGATGTGAACAAAATACTCATTTGCCTAATAATTCTGCACTCCCTGTATGCATGACAACAGTGGGGACAGGGCATCTCCTTGGTAAATACCACACTGGTGACTTATGCATTTCTTTTAAAGTTGGTCTCTAGGGTTGTTTTCTGCATATCGACTAGAAAACAGAAGCATCGCATAAATTTAATAACTAAAATACTGCAAAACCCAAATTGTATAACAGCTTCTTAAACTATTAACAAAGTTTTTTGATTTCCAAAAAAGATTGTAAAAATTTTTTTCTCCTGTAAATTGAACGTCTACACACACACACACAAAACATATTCATCTCAGCACAGGTAATACACAGTGTCTGACCTCAGAGTCTCCAGTCTACAATGTGGACTCTCCAGAAAACCACACAGTTGATTCACTCCTTGATCATGCAGATTGTTTTTACTCAGGTCCAGCTCCCTCAGATGTGCAGGATTAGACTTCAGAGCTGAGCCCAGAAGAGCACAGCTGATCTCTGACAAGCAGCAGTTCCATAAACTGTATATAAATAAAGATGTTAGTTTATTAAACAACGTTTAATGTTTGAAATCATTTAGTGCTCCATAATCGATCTGTAAAAAATAAAAATGCTGAAGTCTAGCTGTTTTCGAACAAAGGAAATATGATGACTTTACTTGTATTTGAGAAACTCTACTCACTACTCACATTAAGTCAATGTATTTCACAGCATATTGTGTTGGAGTATTTTGGAGTTTTCACTTCTAAGCTCGAGTACTGTAATTCATTATTATCAGGATGTCCTAGAAACTCCCTGAAAAGCCTTCAGTTAGTCCAAAATGCTTCAGCAAGAGTACTGTAATCCGATTACTTTTTTCAAGTAACAAGTAAAGTAAGGGATTACTATTGAAAAAACGGTAATTAGATTACCGTTACTTTCCGGTAGGAACGCTGCGTTACTGCGTTACTAAAACCGTGATTTTTTGCGAGAATGTCTCATGACAGTGACGTAAGCGAGTGCGACGTTCGTGACAACAGCTGTGTGCAGATCAACAATGGATAATATATCGAGTGCGGGAGAGAGCATGAGCATGCAGCGTTTAAAGCGTGGAAGTACGGACCTTACTTTGAGTTTGATTCCATAAAAAGTGACAAAAACATTAGTGTCTGTTGTGCGTTGGAAGAAAACTTATTTTTACAGTGAAAAAAAAACCCTAAACGTCCAAGCAAGCACCGAGTGCGCTACGACGTAATGGGAAATTCACAGAGAAATTCGTGGATTCTTCCACTGACCGCTGCGGCACACCTGCACCAGGGTAAACCTCCGCCTACCCCACTCCTGCTTTACAGGTGAAAATAGAGCAAAAGGACCGCTAGTCTTTGATTTTATTTATTTTCTGCTGTGTTTTACTTGCATCTAATTGAAAGAGTGAGTTTCCTCAGAGTAGGTGTTTGCTGGCATGCAATTTACTTGGTGAGAACTTGGACACATGATCATGCTAAAATATAATTTTCACATCCCCACATTCAGTAGAAGTTCTAATAAAAGCCATTTGTAGACATGTATTCCAGTTCAGAATGTGAATTCTGTTGCATATAATTTAATTTTTGCTTGATGCATAAAGTTAAAAGATTAAAACTGATAAAACAAGTTTTAAAAAGGGACTTTTCCATTTGATTACATTTTGTATGATGGATTATGCAGAAAAAATAGAATTGGGCTGAAAGATCTATCGCTTTATCACCTCTTCAGGTTGTAAATCGTGTTTTTAAAAAGTAACTAAGTAACTAAGTAATTAATTATTTTTGAAAATAAGTAATCAGTAAAGTAATGGGATTACTTTTTGGGGAAGTAATCAGTAATTAGTTACTGATTACTTTTTTCAAGTAACTTGACCAACACTGCTGATGACATCTATCAGGTAAAGCATTGTTACATTATATTCATCTCAGTGCTCAGCTAAAACAAGGTGTCTGACCTCAGAGTCTCCAGTCTGCATTTCTGACTCTCCAGAAAACCACAGAGTTTCTCCACTCTTGAATCCCGTAGGTCATTGGAACTCAGCTCCAGCTCTTTCAGATATGAGGAGTTGGACTTCAGAGCTGAGCCCAGAGAATTACAGCTGATTTCTGACAAATTGCAACTCCTTAAACTGAATGAAAAATAGTACACTTAGTTCCACTGACATTAACATGAACCCTCCCTGTGTTGGGTAAATCAAAAGTACTGATTTCTGATGTCTAAATTGTGTGCACATTTTGTGAGTGTGCTTAATATTACATGATTTGTTAGATATAAATTATTCATTTTAAAAATTCATCTGATGAGCAGTAAAAAAAATATCTGTTGCAAATGTTTGTCATGATACATCCATGTATGGACACATATATATGGACTATACACTAAAATTTATGATGTCATGATGGTGTCCTTGACATTGAGCAAGAAAGATGACATGAAAGAAATTACACAAATCTGCAGTGTTTAAGATCTTACCTGAGACTGCCTAAAGTACAGTGTGTACTCATCAGTCCAGAGGAAAGTAGCTTCATCCCTGAATCTGGCAAACTGGTTTCACTCAGGTCAAGCTCTTTTACATTACTGGATGGGGAGCTGAGGATTGTGGCTAGAGCTTCACAGCTTCTCTCTGAGAGGTTACAACCCCTCAGCCTAAGAAAGAAAAGCAATAATATACACAGACTTAGAAATAATTCTTACTTTTTAGGAACTTAACTTAAACTTAAATAAATTATTAATAACTCCACCTACAGCACTTTCTTGGAGGCTTTGGCAACTGGAAGCAGCCTCAGAAGAGCCTCCTCTGAATTTGAGTCAGAGTATTTTTTCAGGTCAAACTCATTCAGATCTTTTTCTGATGACAGTAAGATGAAGACCAGAGCTGACCACTGAGCAGGAGACAGTTTATTTGTGGAGAGACTTCCTGATCTCAGGGACTGTTGGATCTCCTCCACTAGAGAACAATCACTGAGTTCGTTCAGACAGTGGAACAGATTGATGCATTTCTCTGCAGACAGGTTCTCATTGATCTTCTTCTTGATGTACTGGACTATTTCCTGATTATTCTGTGAGATACTTCCTATCTGTGTCAGCAGGCCTTGTGAGGGACTCTCATTGTTCAGCATTGAAAGACCCAGGAGGAAACGGAGGAACAAGTCCAGGTGTCCATTTGGACTCTGTAAGGCCTTCTTCACAGCACTCTTGTAAAACTGTTTAACTGTATGTTTGTTTCTGAAAACTTTAGACAACTGATATGTTTTTTCTTTAAGCAGGTTGACTCCAGAGTTGATGAAGGTCAGATGGACATAAAGAGCAGCCAGAAACTCCTGAACACTCAGATGGGTGAAGAAGAACACCTTGTCCTGGTACAGTCCTCTCTCCTCTTTAAATATGTGTGAGAACATTCCTGAGTACACTGAAGCATCACTGATATCGATGCCACACTCTGTCAGGTCTGATTCATAGAAGATCAGGTTTCCTTTCTGAAGCTGATCAAAGGCAAGTTTTCCCAGATACTCAATCATCTTCTTGATTTCGGGACTCCACCATGAATCTCTGTCAGCTCCGCCATTAGACTTGCCCTTCTTCCCTTTGGCTTGTAGCACCAGGAAGTGGCTGTACATATCAGTTAAAGTCTTGGGTAAATCTCTACCCTCACTGGTTTTCAGGAAATTCTCCAGAACTGCAGCAGTGATCCAGCAGAAGACTGGGATGTGGCACATTGTGTGGAGGCTTTGTGATGTCTCAATGTGGGAGATGATCCTGCCAGCCTGCTCCCTATCTCTGAATCTCTTCCTGAAGTACTCCTCCTTTTGTGGGTCAGTAAACCCTCTGATCTCTGTCACCATACAAACACAGTCAGAAGGGATCTGATTGGCTGCTGCAGGTCTTGTGGTTATCCATAGGTGAGCAGAGGGAAGCAATTTCCCCCTGATGAGGTTGGTCAGTAGCACATTCACTGAGGTGGACTCAGTAACATCAGTCAGGATTTTAGTTTTGTTGAAGTCCAGAGGAAGTCGACACTCATCCAGACCATCAAAGATGAACACAACCTTGAAGTCTTCAAAGCTGCAGATTCCTGCTTCTTTGGTTTCAGTAAAGAAGTGATGAACAAGTTCCACCAAGCTGAACTTTTCCTCTTTCAGCACATTCAACTCTCTGAAAGTGAATGGAAACATGAACTGGATGTCCTGGTTTGTTTTTCCTTCAGCCCAGTCCAGAGTGAACTTGTGTGCTAAGACTGTTTTCCCAATGCCAGCCACTCCCATTGTCAGCACTGTTCTGATTGGTTCATCTCTTCCAGGTGAGGCTCTAAAGATGGCTTCCTGTCTAATTGTTGCTTCTGGTCTGTCTAGTTTCCTGGATGCTGTTTCAATCTGAGTGACTTCATGTTTATTACTGACCTCTGCAGTCCCTCCCTCTATGATGTAGAGCTCTGTGTAGATCTGATTCAGAATTGTTTTGTTTCCTGCTTTAGCAATCCCCTCAAACACACACTGTAACCTCTTCTTCAGATTTGACTTGAACTTGTGCTGACATAATCTCTGAATCTCTGAAAGAAGAAAAAAATATTAAATAATAATACTAACTTTATTTATACAGCGCTTTCAAACAAAGTGCTGTACAGCTATTTGAAACTAAAAAGATAAATAAATAAAAGCGATACATATCAATACAAGTAAAAAACACAATACAAGTTAAAAACAGTAAGAATTTAAAAACTAGAAGGCATAGAATCAAGACATGTAAGATAGGGTGAACAAATATATCTTCAGCTTAGTTTTAAAAACCTCTAAAGAGCATGCCTGTCTACCTAATATCTCAAATCAAATGAGTAGATACTGTACAGAAAATCCATGATCAAGAATCAAGTGTCGTATCACTTAACTTGCCTTTTTCACTCTGCTTTTTCTTTTCATTTCAATTTATTATGATGGCCAAGATTATCAACAGGAAAGTTGTGTCGGGCATGCTGGTACAATTCATCAAGTGTTTATTCACTACCTAGAGTGGTATGTCTGCTAGCCTCTTGACAAAGAGCTGTCTCTGTCCCTCTCTACCTTCTAGATATGCCAGAAAGCCTGAATGACACACCAGAGTGATATACTGCCAAAACTGTTAGTTTTAGCTAGGTCACAGGTCACAGGTATATGACCCTTGACAAAATTTCCCATATGTGGGACTAATAAAGGTTATCTTATCTTATCTTATCTTATGATTGATTTGGTAACCATATCATCGAATCTGTGGCCACATGTTCTGGACATTCAGGTGAAGAGTAGGAGCTGAGTTGTCAACTGATCAACACCTGGAGTTTTGCAAGACACTGCAGTTGCAAGGTAGTTGGTGCCTGTCGTGTGGTAATCCCCAAAATAGATGGTGGACACTGAAGGTGAAGACAGCTATCAAGCTGAAGAAGTCCTGCTGGGCTTGGTTAGCCTGTGGGACTTCAGCAGAGGGTGTGCTCCAGCTACAAGGGAATCACACTTGTCAGACTCTGTGGCAAGGTCTATGTCATGGGATTGGAAAGAGGAGTTCATCCATTAGTGCCTCAGATATGGGAGAAACAATATGGGGTTTTTTCTGGTCATGGAACACTGGACCAGCTCTTTATCCTCTCAATGACATTTGAGGGTGTCTGGGAGTTTTCCCAGCCAATCTACATGTGTATTGTGGACCTGGAGAAGGCATTCAATGACGTCCCTCGAAGTATCCTGTTGGAGGTTCTTTGTGAAAATGTGTTAGAGTTAGGCTAAACTGTGTTGCCAGTTTTTATTGACAGAATTTCTAGACATGCCAGATGGCAGCAGGCTTTGACTTTGATGGGCTCAGAATCTTATCTCTATGTTTTGCAGACGATGTGGTTCTGCTGGCTTGATCAGGTGGTGGTTTCCAGCCTGGTCTTTAGCCAGAAAAAGGTGGAATACTCACTCCAGGTCAGGGACAAGTTGCTGCCCAAAATGAAGGTGTTTAGGTATCTCTGGGTATGGTTGGGGTGCTGTGACCGGTTGGAGTGAGAGAAAGAAGACAGGATAAAGACATGCTGGCGAAGAGAGCTAGAGATTGTCTGTGAAGGTTCTCAGTCATCCAGGTCATCGTAGTCAAAGGAGCTTGCAAAGAAAAGCGTCTGAACTTCTTTAAGTTGCTTGAAGATGTTTCACCTCTCATCCGAGAAGCTTCTTCAGTTCTAAGGTCAAATGGTGGAGAGTCCCAGATATAAACCTAGTGGGAGTAACCCCCCACAGAGGGACAAAAGGACCCCCTGATGATCCTCTAATCGCCTGAGCTAGGGTGTGAAACTGGGTGTGGGTCCAATCAGCCAGAGTTTCGGGTGAGTTCATTGTGAAACCTGGCTCCACCTTATCATGCGAATTCCTGAGGTCAGATGGCCCAGGATCTGAGTGGGCGTTAAGGCGTCTGGGGAGGGAACTCAAAACTGGATTATAGATGGCAGAGAGTTGGTGTCGTAAACCACCGCCTCTCTTCAAAGATGGTTGCTCACAGTGGACATAGATGGCTTCTTTCACTCCTCTTTCAAACCATCTGTCCTCTGTCCAAAATGTGAACATTGGCATCCTCGAAAGAGTGTCCTTTATCCTTAAGATGCAGATGGACTGCTGAGTCTTGTCCTGTGGAGGTGGCTCTTCCATGTTGTGCCATACGCTTGTGAAGTGGCTGTTTGGTCTCTCCAATGTAGAGGTCTGGGCATTCCTCGCTGCACTGTACAGCATACACCACATTGTTAAGTCTGTGTTTTGGAGTTTTGTCTTTCGGGTGAACCAGTTTTTGTCTGAGCGTGTTGCTGGGTCTGAAATGCACCGGGATGTCATGCTTGGAGAAAACTCTCCTGAGTTTTTCTGATACACCGGCTACATAGGGGATGACAATGTTGTTGCGTCTGTCTTTCTTATCCTCCCTCGCTGGTGTCTGATCTTCTTTTCTGTGCCTCTTTGCTGACTTTATAAACGCCCATTTAGGATAGCCGCACGTTTTGAGTGCTTCCTTTACATGCGTGTGTTCCTTCTTTTTTCCTTCAGGCTTAGAGGAAACATGTTCTGCCCGGTGGTGTAGGGTCCTAATTACTTCAAGTTTGTGTTCCAGAGGGTGATGGGCGTCAATCAGAATCAGAATCAGAATCAGAATGGGTTTTATTGCCAAATGTTGAGCAGGTTTACAACATTAGGAAATTGCTGCGGTGCTTCAGTGCAAACATACTGTCATAAATTGCGCTTAAATAGACATGAAAAAATAAAAGTAAGAATAAGAATTAAAAGTGCTACGTAGAAAGATATATGCATGAGATATACATGAGATATATACATGAGAATAAGAATTAAAAGTGCTACGTAGAAAGATATATACATGAGTGCAGGTGGTGATCAGTGCCAAAACATGGAATGATGCAGTGAACACAGCGTAGGGTCATGTGTTAGTGGTGGGAACAGTCGTACGTTTATTGTTCATGTGTCCAACAGCAGAGGGGAAGAAACTGTTCTTATGGCGAGAGGTTCTGGTGCGAATGGACCGGAGCCTCCTGCCTGAGGGGAGCAGGTCAAACAGACTGTGTCCAGGGTGAGAAGGGTCAGCTGAGATCCAAGCTGCACGCCGCAGTGTCCTGGAGGTGTACAGGTCCTGCAGAGATGGGAGTCTACAGCCAATCACCTTCTCAGCAGAGCGCACAACACGCTGCAGTCTCTGTTTGTCCCTGATAGTGGCTCCAGCGTACCACACGGTGATGGAGGAGGTGAGGATGGACTCGATGATTGCGGTGTAGAATTGCATCATCGTCCGTGTTGGCAGGTTGAATTTCTTCAGCTGCCTCAGGAAGTACATCCTCTGCTGGGCTTTCTTGATGACGGAGATGATGGTGGGCTCCCACTTCAGCTCCTGAGTGATCGTGGTACCCAGGAAGCGGAATGAGTCCACAGAGGTGATGGGGGTGTCAGTCAGGATGATGGGGGGGAGTGGGGCTGTGTGCTTCCTGAAGTCCACAATAATCTCCACTGTCTTCTGGGCATTCAGCACCAGGTTGTTGTGGCTGCACCAAGACACCAGACGTTCAACCTCCATCCTGTAGGCAGACTCATCCCCGTCCGAGATGAGCCCAATAAGGGTGGTGTCATCTGCAAACTTGATTAGCTTGACAGACTGGTGGGTGGAGGTGCAGCAGTTGGTGTACAGGGAGAAGAGCAGAGGAGAAAGAACACAGCCCTGAGGGGAGCCGGTGCTGATGGTCCGAGAGTCCGAGACATTCTTTCCCAGCCTCACATGCTGCTTCCTGTCCGTCAGGAAGTCAGTGATCCACCGGCAGATTGGATCGGGCACATTCATCTGGGAAAGCTTGCCTTGGAGATGGTCTGGAAGGATGGTGTTGAAGGCAGAGCTGAAGTCCACAAACAGGATCCTGGCGTAGGTTCCTGGGGAGTCCAGATGCTGCAGGATGAAGTGTAGGGCCATGTTGATGGCGTCATCTACAGACCTGTTGGCTCTGTATGCAAACTGCAGGGGGTCCAGGAGGGGGGCCATGAGGGTCTTGAGGTAGGAGAGAACCAGGCGCTCAAATGACTTCATGACCACAGAGGAGGTACTGGTCCGTGTGTGTGGGCTTCCGGTAAACTTTGATGTTGAGGTTGCCATTCTCTTCAATGTCCACAGCACAGTCCAGGAAAGGCAAACAGTTATCCTTTGTGTCTTCCCTGGTGAACTTGATGTTTTTATCCACAGCGTTAATGTGCGCAGTGAAGGATTCCACTTCTTGTGTCTTGATTTTGACCCAGGTGTCGTCCACATATCTGTACCAGTGGCTGGGTACTCTTCCTTTGAAAGAGCCAAGAGCCTTCCTTTCCACTTCCTCCATGTAAAGGTTGGCTACAATAGGTGACACAGGGGAGCCCATGGCACAGCCATGTTTTTGTCTGTAGAAGCCTTCGTTGTATTTGAAGTAAGTGGGGGCTCGTCCGGGATAAATTTTGAATATGGCACAGTTTAGCCTGGGTGATTTTATAGCTAAGCCTTCATTAGACCAGCTTGATGCATGTAGGAAGGAGGATTTATGTGCTGTTGCCGCGCATTATGAAATCCCTGTGGCTAAGACCATGAAGAAGAGCGAGTTAAAGTCTCTTGTGGTCAGTGGGTTGGTTGGGAAAGGTGTGTTCCCTTTGGACGCGGACACTAGGGATGCAGCGTCGGTCTTTGAAACCTCTGATCAGCCTGAGGATTGTGCTGAGGAGGGGACAGTGACACCTATTGTGGTCAAACCAGGTGGGGGAAAACCCCCAGCCTCTCTTCCACGGTTTGAGCCCTTCTCTGTCGAATCCAGTAATTCCAGTGTTGGTGCACGTTTAAAGGTACATTTGGCTCATCTTGAACTTGAAGCCAAAGCAAGGGAACGTACAGCTTATAGTTTCTGAGTGTTTGGCTCTTAAACGTAAACAAGTGCCCCAGCAATTAAAACAAGCTAAAGGGGTTGGCCTAGTCAAGTCGCTAAACTGCCCCTCTAATATGACCACGAGTGAACCTGATAAGTGTTTTAAACCCTTCATTTTTGATGGTTTTGTCTCCTTAACAGGGTTTCCTGGGGATCAGAAGCCCGGGAGAATACTAAGGGACACGGGTGGCTCACAATCATTTCTATTGGCCGATGTTTTACCAGTCAGTGATGAGTCATCCTGTAACGTAAGTACAATAGTGCAAGGTATTGGGATGGCCTACATACCAGCACTGTTACATTGTGTTCATGTGCAGTCGTTTTGAGTGCTTCCTTTACATGCATGTGTTCCTTCTTTTTTCCTTCAGGCTTAGAGGGAACATGTTCTGCCCGGTGGTGTAGGGTCCTAATTACTCCAAGTTTGTGTTCCAGAGGGTGATGGGAGTCAAAGAGGAGGTACTGGTCCATGTGTGTGGGCTTCCGGTAAACTTCGATGTTGAGGTTGCCATTCTCTTCAATGACAGATTGAAGAGATTAATAACAAGTAGTGATTGATGCGGACATTGTACCAGTCCATCAGAGAGAAATAAGCTTTCTCAGAAAGGTGACTGGTGTCATGGGCCGCGGCCCGGCGTCCGGGGTGCTGTTGGGATGCCCACGCCCACGGGCGTGGCTGCTAACCCCACACCTGCATCCCATCCCAGGCGATCACCAGGTGGACTATTTAATCCTGCCCTACCTGCTGCTCCACGCCAGTCCGTAGTCGCCTCTCAGCGGTAACGTACACCTGCGGGAAAAACCCTTATGACAAATTGTCCATTGGAACTGACTCTGTTTTACCCTGTGTACTCAGATCACAACTTGGCGTTTTTGCGAGCTTCCTGCCTGTCCACCTGTCCGCCTGAGATTCGGAAGCACTATCAGCCTCGCCGTCTCGACCCTTTTGGAGCCCCCCTCTGGTTCACTCAGCCCGGCTACCTCCATAAGACGCATACTCCACCTTCCCTCGTATGCTGCCTTTTTTCCGCACCCCAGTAATCTGTTTCTCTTTTGTTTTGCAGCTTCTCACAGCCCCGCTCTCGGCATTCCCTGCGCAGTTCACCTCCCCAGTCCCTCGGTTTCTTCTGGTTCCATACGTTGTTTTTTCGGCTACCCTCACGGGACACCTTTAGTTATAATAAATTTGCTTTCTTTATTCCCTCCTACCCTGGTGTGTGTGTTCTGCTTCTGGGTCCAGCTTGCGCATGGAACTTCGGTTCATGACAACTGGCCTCTGCCTCTCAGGCATGTTCCACAGGAATGAGGCCTGGAGCAGACCCAGGACATGCTGTGGAGATTTCATCTCTTCACTAAGCTGGAGGTGATGGCTGGGGAGAGGGAGGTCTGGGTATTGTTGACTAGGAAATCCTCTATTTTAAAATCATATGTTGTTAGTAGGTTTTATACAGTTTTAAATGACATCTAAACCACCCTCCCAATTAGTTTAACCTAATCAAGCAACATATATTTAATTAATATATTTTAAAACGAATACAATCATGTTTAAAAAGGCAGTGATTCAAACTTGCAAACTTGCACTTGTGCATTAACTCATATAGAAAACAAGAACAAATAGATTCAAGGTCATGACTAACTCATCAATAAACATGACAGTAATTTAATTTCTGGTGTTTGGCTGGACCAGCGTGTCTATCAATGCTATGGATGGTTATGACATATGAATCACGTGACCTAATCAATGTTTTTATTGCTTTCTTTCTTAATAACTTTGTAATATCCCACTTATTAATCCTTCCCTGATTTACCTGTGGGTTCTGAGGTTATGTCTTTCAAATTTTTCAGCAGATCATTTTTGTCAATCTTCACCAAAGCCATTTTAGTAACTTTAACGGTATTGGTTGAGTAGGTCTGGAACATTTGATCGACTGTGTCCAGCCTGTCTGCGTTCTCCAGCCGACTTGTTGGGATTGATGGGAAACCTTCCATGGCCCCCTTCTGACACAGTATCCACTTGAATTTTTTGAAGTCATCACCTCCCAAGTCCTCCAAGGTCTGCAGAAGGACTTCTTTATGTGTCGCCATCTTTTATCATATGAAGATTCAACAGGTGTCAGAACTGTAAAAACAACAATTTTCTGGTTTATCAATGCTCACGGTAATTACAAGTGTTTTAATTCATTCATAGACAACTCAATTTGAAAAGAAACAAAACACAGAAACACACCAGGGCTGTTCCTAGGTATCGCTGATATCATGAGTTAAGAAAGCTGATTTTGCTGATTTAAAGGCGAAACCTGTGTGAGTGTGAGAATTTCGGGGTCTTATCAGTTAATTCCAGCTGTGATTAACCCTTTAAAGAAAAGCGTGTCGTATTTGATACGTGTTTTTGTGTTTTTGGGACTTCTACGTCAACAGCGTGACATTTTTTTTTTATCCTTAAAAATGATAGAAATTGCTAAATATAAATGACTTATATAGCAAATGCAGCACTTGTTTCTCTTTTTGTTTTTGGAGCCATTTATAAGTGGACTTGCCGGTGTGTGTTGGATCATTGCCTTGCTGTCTTGCAAAAAAAGAAAAAAAAAGGTTTGCGGTTAAAAAACGACTAACTACAAGGCACAGAAGGAAAGAAACTCCATGCAAAGAAAAAAATCCAGATACCTGGATAATTTAGTGTAATGCCATGACTAACCCCTAAACTAATTCAAGATTGTTTAAATTGACTATGTTTGTAATTATATACTTTTGTAAAAGAAAAATTAAGCCAACAAGCACTTAAAAATGCTTCAGTGAAAAGTGTGAAATGAAGGGTTACAACAGGATGTTTGAATACAGGATGTTATACAGAGTTGGCCTAACCACCAACTGATAAGGTTCCTTAGAAGCATGTTGGCTGCTCGACATACACACTAATAAAAGTGCAGAAATGTGTCAGGCTCTTTAGCCTGTACATGGGTTACTCTGCACTTTTCTTGCTCCGTTTGAGAAACTAGAAGCACTGAGTGTGAAGCAGAAGAAGAATATCTACAGGATTCACACCATTAGCATCAGTTTAGTTTTTATGTATTAACAGAACCCTAAAACTTCAAAGTTATCCGTGCCTTCTCTAAGACATCAGAGCACAAACAAGGCTGGATTAAACCCATCTCTAATGCTTTCATTCTTTGAAAAAGCTAATGGTTCTGCAGGTCAGAGTGAACTTCTTACTTCTAGGCCCTCAGGGTCATTCACCCTCAGCGCGCAGCGCTGCCTAAGACAGAAGGAGATGACCACAAATGCTGGATGAATCACATAGCAGCCATCAAAGTGAAACCCCTCCCTCAGTGTAACAGTTCCTTCTCAGTCCTCCAATCATGGCCACAGAAAAATGATTTAAATCACAGAACTCTTTAATCTGACATTTGTACTGGAGGAACAAAAAAAGCAAAAATCACATACTCCACATTAGAAAATTACATCACAGAGCAGACTGGAAGAAACAAATATGCCTTATTTTAATCTCATAAAGTAACCCCCACACACGTTAAAACAGAGAGAGGAGTCTACCAATACTAATGTTGTTCCATAAAGATGTTATAAAGTGGGTGATCAAAGTTGTTCAAGCTTCTAACATCTTTAGTTTGCATCTTTCCATCACATCTCCCAGCTTGTCCAGTCTGGCTTTAATTACAGAGCCAGCTTTTGCTGCGAGATCGATCAACTTTAGACCAGACAACAAACTACGGAGGCTCCGGAAAAGTGCAATCAAACGATGAGTTTTATTATCACAGGAGAACAACCAACCGTCAGCATACGGATTGTTTTGCTCTGACAAGAATACATTGGGTTCTGGTTTTATAGGATAAAATATCACACCTACGTCAATACAGTTCAAAAATACATGGTGACAGACGGACAAAAGTTCAACCCGTGCAGACAAGGGTACATCACGTACATATAACCTTACACTGACATATAACTTCTCCTTTCTACATTACTTGCCTTTTATGGTAATAACTTCAGGTCTCAGCATCTCTAAGAGCTAATAATGGACCCTCGTCATTAATCACTAAGTAGAGTACTTTGCAGCCAGTCTCAAACTGAAGCAGAAGATGCTTAGGCCTTTGCTCAGACCTGCTACTAGATTAATATGTGTATCGTAAGCGTGCATGCAATTAACCTGCTATGTTCTCATCTCCCCTCAGCATGTATCATCTGGACACTCTCACCAGTGAAGCTTAAAACCTTCTAGAATGGAACATCAACTCTAACCAAGCACATTCATGCATTGTGTATAAAATGAACTCAACCTATAAAAATAGAAAGGTCAATGTGATGACAGACATATTCAATGCAATATAAACCCTGCAGGAAATATTACTGATACTGTAAAACATGTTATTAATACATTCTTCATAAGGCAGATTATATGGTAGCAATAAAAGAATCTCTGAATCCCAACACTTTCCTCACTAGTTTGTTTCCTTTCATCCTTGTTTCTGATGATTCCTTGCCAGCAGACTGCAGCACAGAACAGCACACCTGCTGCCACAGACTTATAGAACATCTGCAGCATTTTACTGCAGATATCAATGGATCTTAGTTCCCTTAACAAAAAAGAAAAGGTGATTTGGCAGTCTAGTTTGTTATCTGGTTATAAACCTAGATATTTAGATTTTGATATCAACCCTATGTCCACCCCACAAGCGTTCACAGGCTGGAGGGGAGGCCAGAAACTTTGGAAATCTCATTTCCTTTAACTTACAGGTGTTCAATATGAGGTCATTTTTGCCTTCCCCAAACCGGAGCACCAGTTCACACTTCCTCATCCCTCATCACCCATCGTTACAGAGGATGTGGTCCCAGCTAGTGAATGTGAGACTGCAGTAAAGTGAATGATTGAGGCGTACATGTGAGTTCAGTCCCACCCCTGACTAAAACCTGGGTCTGAAACTCCCTCACTGTACATGTTTGGGTTTCCAAAGAGGTTAAATTGATGAGAAATGGAAGCAAAGACTTCAAATATATGTTACCACATAAAACGTGTTTTGGTTGTTCTAATTGATCACATTTAAAAGTGTCAGTCTCTTTCTCCCCATCGTTACTGTCATTCACGACAGAAGCTGTGCTGTCTTAGATCTGCATGTGTCCTTCTTTAATGCCTTTTATTTCCTCCTTTATTCTTATCACATTTACGTTGGAGGAATGCTGGCAGTAACTGATTGGACTATTGTGGCATTTCAACAATTGTAGGAATTGCCTTTTAAACTTCTGCCCTGAACTTATGCACTTTAAGAGGATATAATCACATTCCACACAAAAAGGAACAAAATAAAGGGAAGAGGAGGCTCCCTGGGCGTCCTGCAGGAGCTGCAGACTTATTGTGGTGCTTTTCTTCAGTAATATTACTAATTTACTGTCAATTAATTTTCTATATTCATGATTTTTTTCCCCTTGCACCAAGCTTTAAAATATGGAAGTTTGCAAGCATATATGTGCCTTACACCGTGAGCTGTGGCATAAAGACCAGCAGTAAGTGTTACGTGTGCTGCCACAGTGGGTGGTCACAGGACTCTTTCACCCCTGTGTCACCACTGCTCCCATACATATCTGTCAGGCATTTGTTCTATCTGAATATTTTACTCTACTATCAGTCTGAACAAACAGGTCTATTCAATACAAATACTGTTAGAACATGAAGTATATCACCAGGTCGAAGAATGTGGACCAACACTCACCTTGTTTTTCTGTTCCTGCTCTGTCAGCTGTGAAGTGGAGTCTGATCTGGAAGTCCTAAAGCTTTTCAAAGCTACCTCTTATGTGCAGTGTAGCCCCTCCTCTCTGCAGTCACAGGAAGGCACATATTTCCTGACACTTTCAGAGGCCTTTATTCACCAACACCAAATGCTCTCAGACTGTGCAAACTAAAGTGCACACAGAATTATACACATAATCAGTTTTGTTCTTAGCGCTGTGTGTAGGTTAATGAATCCGAATCATCTGAAACTGCAGGCTTGAAACAGCGATGATGCTTAGAGGAGCCTACAACACAGAAACCAGGAAAAGCTCAGGGAGGGAGCCAGAAGAGGTCCACCTTTTCCATGAAAATAACAAATAGAATAGAATTCATTAAAATAAACACAGTGTGTAAAATAAATCTTTAATACGTCACCAATTTTTAAAGTAAATATATTTCAGTTTCCCGAGGAAAGACTGCAGCATTTGGTACTGCATATGACTGTTCTGCTGGTACAAAGGTACAGTCTCGTTCTGTTTGGGCTCCACAGGTTTAGGGGAAAAGACCACTGATGAGGTAAAAGTATAAGGTGCTACTGATGTGAAATGCTCACCAGACGTTGGTAACAACCCATCCAAGCATGCGTGCAAAGACATCAAACCATGTCTATAAATTAAATGATGTGTAACAATGAAAAGTGACAAGTTTGGAGGGCAACGGGTTACGAGCTAGAGTCAGGCTCCGGTTTGTGAGAGTGGAATTGTGCAGCGTTGCTGTTATAGTTAGTGTGGATTTTTGTATAAGGTGTGTTTGGTTGGTGGTTTGGTGTGTGAGTGAGGTAAGTAGGCGAGTCGGCCGAAGGCCTGTACAGGTCCGGTAACGGTCTCCTGCAGACTTCTTCTCATAGACCAGGGTTGGCACTGATGGAGGGCAGAAGGAGTGAGTGGAATAGTATGGATGGTAGTGAAGATGAAGAGATTGGCGGTCAGGGTGAAGAGAATGAGTGGGAAAAGGTTGGAAAGGGGACGGAACGGGAGGGACTGATAGTGAAGGTAATGAAGAGGGAACGAGTTCGAGTATGAATGTAATTGTCAGGTGTGAGGAAGAGGGTGTAAAGAAACTAGATCCACTTGAGCTAACAAGAGCACTTAAGGTACAAGTTGGGGAAATCAAGTATGCTAAGATACTCAGAGATGGAAATTTACTGGTGGGTTGTAACACAGAGGTACAGGTGGAAAAAGCAAGGAAACTTGTGGAGGTGTGCAAAGTCAAAGTGACGAATACTGCAAGAGTAGGGGAAAGGAGCACTAGTGGAACTAAAGGAGTTATTGTGGGCTGCCGTTAAATGTAAATATGAAAGAACTGGTGGAGAATTTAAAACTAAGAACTGGAGAAGTTAAAGGAGCAAGGAGAATGACAAGAGGTCCAGAGAGAGTAGAAACAGAAACTGTGGTGGTGGAATTTGACACAAAAGAGGTACCACAAGAGATCTTCTTTGGATTAATAAGATTCAGTGTGAGGGAGTTTGTGCCTAAACCAATGAGGTGTTTCAGGTGCCAAGAATTTGGACATATTGCCAAAGTGTGTAAAGGGAAGAGAAGATGTTCAATGTTCTGAGGATCATGAGTATGGGAAGTGTGGTGTGGGAGTAAAACCTAAGTGCTGTAATTGTGGAGGGGAGCACAGTGTTGTTTTTTGGGGATGTGAAGTGTTGAGGCAGCAGACAGTTATTCAAAAAACAAGAGTACTGCAGAGAGTGACATATGCAGAGGCGTGTAAAATGGTGGAGCAAGACAGACAGATTGGGAAACACCGGGTAGAGGAGAAAAAAGTAATGGTGAAGGTTATGGAAATAGTTGAAAGGAAAATAGAAGAAGAGAAGAAGAAGATGGTGACATTCATTGCGGGAGTAATAAATGCAACCTCAGATGTGAAGTCCAAGACGGAGAGAATCCAGATTATTGTGAAGGCAGCATGTCATAGTTTAGACATGAAGAATATCAGGTGGGAGGACATAAGAGGTGGAACAAGCAGTCAGGCGAGTCAAGAGGGATAATGTGGTGGTTAGTTCTTATAACCATATTAATCTTACAGTGGAATGCCAGGAGTCTCTTGTCAAATGGTCAAGATTTTAAACAGTTTCTATACGAGCAGACAGAAAAACCTGACATAATTTGTATTCAGGAAACATGGTTGAAGCTTTTTTGGATTTTAGAGTGTATGGATATGTTGCTGTTAGATATGATAGGGAAGAAGGAAATGGTGGTGGGTGCCTTGCGTTGATTAAGGAAGGTATTCCATTGAAGATAGGTGAGAGGGAAGGGGATTTGGAGTATGTAGTGATTAAGGTTTGGATAGGAGGGAAGGTGATCATGGTTGTTAATTTTTATAATCCTTGTAAAAAAGTTAGAGTTGAATAAACTGGGGGAAATGGACATGAAAGGAAATATTATCTGGTGTGGGGATTTTAATGCACACTATTTGTTATGGGGGAGTGAGAAAACAGACTACAATGGGGAAGTGTTAGAGGAATTTCTTGACAATGAAAATCTGGTATGTTTGAATACTGGGAAGACGACACGGTTTGATATTAGCTCTGGTAAGTCATTTGGTAGTGATCATTATCTGGTTGTGAGTGAAATAATGGTTGGTCAAATACAGGTACCTGAAACATTAGGAGGGAAGTGGGTGTTTGGGAAGGCGGAATGGGGGAAGCTTAGTAGGGTTTGTGAGGGGAAGTTTTTACAAGTTCAAGATAATGTGAGTGTTGAAAGTATGACTCAAGAAATCAGTCAAAGTATTCTAAGCTCTGCTGATGAGGCTATTCCAAAGACAACAGGGAAAGGTATGAGGAGAGCAGTCCCATGGTGGAATGACGAATGTCAGTTAGTAGTTAGAGAAAAAAATTAGAGCATTTAAGTTGGTTAAATGGTCTCATAATTTTCAACACTTAATTGACTACAAAAAAGCGCAGGCAAAAGTCAGGAGTACAATCAGAAGAACAAAGAGAACATACTGGAGAGATTTATGTAATACAATTGGTAGTAATACTCAAAAAGGGGAAGTGTGGGGGATGATCAGGGAGAAAGAAGAGACTTGGAGAGTTATCCAGTTCTTGATAAGAATAATCGAGCAGCTGTAACTGATGGGGAAAAAGCAGATTTATTGGCAAGTACTTTTGTGGATATACATAGTGGGAGAAATTTGTCAGATGAAAGTAAACGAGGAAGAGAGAGGACTAAAGAAAGAAATCTTGAAGCTTTAGGGAGGAAGGACAGTACTGCAGATGTAATGAGTTGTCCCTTATCTATTGGAGAACTGAAAAGAGCTCTGGGCAGGACCAGTAATAGTGCTCCAGGGAAGGATGAGATATGTTATGTTGTACGTTCGCCTTGTAATCGGAAGGTTGCCGGTTCGAGCCCCGGCTTGAACAGTCTCGGTCGTTGTGTCTATGGGCAAGACACTTCACCCGTTGCCTACTGGTGGTGGTCAGAGGGCCCGGTGGCGCCAGTGTCCAGCAGCCTCGCCTCTGTCAGTGCGCCCCAGGGTGGCTGTGGCTACAATGTAGCTTGCCATCACCAGTGTGTGAATGTGTGTGTGAATGGGTGGATGACTGGATATGTAAAGCGCTTTGGGGTTCTTAGGGACTAGTAAAGCGCTATATAAATACAGGCCATTTACCATTTATATGTCTGTGAAGGTTCTCAGTCATCCAGGTCATCGTAGTCAAACGAGCTTGTAAAGAAAAGCGTCTGGACTTCTTTAAGTTGCTTGAAGACGTTTCACCTCTCATCCGAGAAGCTTCTTCAGTTCTAAGGTCAAATGGTGGAGAGTCTCAGATATAAACCTAGTGGGAGTAAACCCCCACAGAGGGACAAAGGACCCCCTGATGATCCTCTAATCGCCTGAGCCAAGGTGTGAAACTGGGTGTGGGTCCCAATCAGCCAGAGTTTCGGGTGAGTTCATTGTGAAAGCTGGCCCCACCTTATCATGCGAATTCCTGAGGTCAGATGGCCCAGGATGTGAGTGGGCATTAAGGCGTCTGGGAAGGGATCTCAAAACTGGATTATAGATGGCAGAGAGTTGGTGTCGTAAACCCCCGCCTCTGTTCAAAGATGGTCGCTCACAGTGGACATAGATGGCTTCTTTCACTCCTCTTTCAAACCATCTGTCCTCTCTGTCCAAAATGTGAACATTGGCATCCTCGAAAGAGTGACCTTTATCCTTAAGATGCAGATGGACTGCTGAGTCTTGTCCTGTGGAGGTGGCTCTTCTGTGTTGTGCCATGCGCTTGTGAAGTGGTTGTTTGGTCTCTCCAATGTAGAGGTCTGAGCATTCCTCGCTGCACTGTACAGCATACACCACATTGTTAAGTCTGTGTTTTGGCGTTTTGTCTTTCAGGTGAACCAGTTTGTGTCTGAGCGTGTTGCTGGGTCTGAAATGTACCGGGATGTCATGCTTGGAGAAAACTCTCCTGAGTTTTTCTGATACACCGGCTACATAGGGGATGACAATGTTGTTGCGTCTGTCTTTCTTATCCTCCCTCGCTGGTGTCTGGTCTTCTTTTCTGTGCCTCTTTGCTGACTTTCAGAACGCCCATTTAGGATAGCCGCACGTTTTGAGTGCTTCCTTTACATGTGTGTGTTCCTTCTTTTTTCCTTCAGGCTTAGAGGGAACATGTTCTGCCCGGTGGTGTAGGGTCCTGATTACTCCAAGTTTGTGTTCCAGAGGGTGATGGGAGTCAAAGAGGAGGTACTGGTCCGTGTGTGTGGGCTTCCAGTAAACTTCGATGTTGAGGTTGCCATTCTCGGTGTTGAGAGCCAAGAGCCTTCCTTTCCACTTCCTCCATGTATAGGCTGGCTACAATAGGTGACACGGGGGAGCCCATGGCACAGCCATGTTTTTGTCTGTAAAAGTCTTTGTTGTATTTGAAATATGTAGTGGTGAGGCAGAGGTCTAACAGTGTGCAAATCTGATCGGGTGTGTAAAGGAAGCACTCAAAACGTGCGGCTATCCTAAATGGGCGTTCTTAAAGTCAGCAAAGAG